TCAGCGTCTTCTATGTTCATCAGAGGATAATGGAAACGTCAGCAACAATAGCGGTGTGGAGGATGGTGACATTGGTGGGTTATTGGTTGTTTGCCAATATTTGCTAGTTGTGGGGCATTGACAAAGGTTTTATAGCTCCGGCCTTCATTTGTGCGCACAAACGTTGGATAAGCCTTAGTGCACACTTGCTGCTTGAGATACATAGATGACAGAGTTTTGGGTTCGCGCCATGCCCTTTCAGATGAAGACGAACCCGGCACCGAGAACGAGGCAGATGTGGATTCCGACGGCCTTGGGCTCCCGACCACCAGCACGCACTCGTGTGTCGAAGCTGCTGAGAAGGCGTGCAGAGAAGCGTTCTCCCAAACCTGCTCGTTCGCATGCTGCTGCTGTGAGCGACGTCTGTTCAAACATTCAGTGGTAGAGGTCACGGATACCATGTATGACACCCTCAGCGAAGTGTGGGCAACAAACCTTGCAGGATGGGTAGCCCGAACTGGCATAGGACATATATGCCATACATGCTTAACTAGCATCCGTAGTAGGGTCACCCGCGCGCCGCCCTCATGCAACCAGCCACACAACTATCACCCACCACCCCACACGTCCACTTGGGCAGGCCATGAGATCGCTTCGGTCTGGTCGGGTGTACTAGAAGCACGGAGACGGTGAAAATTGAGGCCCTTCGCTTACCACAGCCATCATGAGGACCCCCATGCCCCCAAACCGGTACCCTGCAAGTCCCACCGCTAGCCGGTGAGCAAGTATAGCTGATGACAAGGCGACCCAACCGTAGGTGGCAGTGCGAAATTAACCTAATTGTAGTCTCAGGCTGAGGGGGCGCACGGGCCCCCTCCCTCCCCCCAACGCTAACCCTCACTAGTTATACTGCAACCAGCCACCACATATCCCCTTTGTGTTGCCCTTACTAAAACTTCCTATGATTTGGGATATCCTTAAATCCCCCCCGCTACCCGCCTGCACTCCCTTAACCCTCCCAAGAGTAGTAATTATTAAGAAAAAAATGAAATATTTCACCCGTCCAGGTGCCTCACCATCTTCCGGCTCACCAATAACCCTAGCCATCCAGTGTCCCCCACCCCCCTACCCCTCCCCCGGCCACCTAGCCCACCAATGAATATTGACCTCGAAGTGCGGTGGTGCCGTCCATGTGACCAGACCAGGAGGCGCCAAATCATAATCCGGCTCACCAATAACCATAGCCATCCAACGTCCACCATACCCCTCCCCCCACCGCCCAATCCGTCAGTTTTCCTTATTTTTACTCTCCCCCGCCCAATCCGCGCTGTGCGTGAGAGGCCGTGCAGGCCAGCCCCCCACCCCCTAACCGTAGGTGGCATCACGATTACGTGACGCGTTTTAGGGTATACAAGAAGCTCGCGAGGGCGAAAGGAAAGAGAGGCACCTTCCCCTGCCACAGCCATGATGAGGCCCCCTGTATGTACACCCAAACCCGGTACCCTTCCTTGGCGTTCATGTTACCCGTCCAAATGCCTCACCTCCGGCTCACCAATAACCATAGCCGTCCAGTGTCCCCCCACCCCCCTCCTCGAGAGGCCGTGCGAGCCACGAGGCCCCCCTTGCCCCCGAAACAGTACCCTTCCCACGAGTGCAAGTCCCCCAGCAAGCCGTTACTTGGTCCCCATGCCGTGGGCTAGCAAAACTGACAAGCAAGGCATGCGCAAGCACCCCTCTTTTTTTCCTATCGTCACCATCGACTGCCATGTACTATGCGCCCTTACGTTTGCTTCATACCATACCATGATGGCTGCAAGGGCCCGTGTTTTTGGGCGGAGCCCCCGCCACGAAGCGGCTTCGGGGGGGCTTCGCCCCCCAGGATTGCCCCTGTCGCCGGAGCAATGTAGCGACGTCGGAGGCCGACGTGACCGTAAATCCCCCCGTAACGAAGTGGAGGGGAGGATTGGAGGACAGATCACCGCTAAAGTTTGTCCGTCTGTCTGTCTGTCCGTCTGTGACCGTAAATCCCCCCGTAACGAAGTGGAGGGGAGGATTGGAGGACAGTCGGTCGAAATTTTGTCTGTCCGTCTGTCTGTGCGTCAGCATTGGTGGCAAGGTCCTTAGGGCGCTAAGCGCTCAGTCCTGTGCTGAGCCAGCCAGAGGTCTGCGGTTCGAGCCAGGTAGCGACCTCTTGGCGACTTCCTGGGCACCCTTGGAGATGATGCCTGGGCCTGTGGGGATGGTGTTCTGGGAGATCTCGAGTACGACAACACACGGTACGGCAGCAGACTGTACGGCAATTGTGCCGTACTGTGTGGCAAGATGTCATGTGGTGTACGACATGTACGGCAACTGTACGACAGTGTACGACAACTGTACGGCAGCGTACGATAGCTGTCGTACGCTTGTACGGCATCTGTACGGCATGTGTTTTGACACGGCCTCCCACCCCCCTCCTCCCCCTCTTCTCCCCTCGTCGCCTATACGTCACCCCGACCCTCCTTGTGACTCCTGGCACCATCCCCCCCTCGCCACAACAACTGGCAGTACAGTACGGCTTGGGTTTCGACACGCTCTCCCACCCCCCTTCTCCCCCTCTTCTCCCCTCGTCGCCTATACGTCACCCCGACCCTCCTTGTGACTCCTGGCACCATCCCCCCCCTCGCCACAACAACTGGCAGTACAGTACGGCTTGGGTTTCGACACGCTCTCCCATCCCCCTTCTCCCCCTCTTCTCCCCTCATCGCCTACACGTCACCCCAACCCTCCGTGTGATTCCTGGCACCATTCCCCCCTCGCCACAACAAATGGCAGTACAGTACGGCTTGGGTTTCGACATGGCCTTCCACCCCCCTCCTCCCCCTCTTCTCCCCTCGTCGCCTACATGTCACCCCGACCCTGCCTGTGACTCCTGGCAGGCTGGATAACAATGCGTAGGGCGACGATGCGTAGGAACAATGCGTAGGGCAACAATGCGTTGGGCAACGATGCGTAGGGCAACAATGCGTAGGGCGAGAAGGCGTAACAATGCGTAGGGCAACAATGCGTAGGGCAACAATGCGTAGGTCGACAATGCGTAGGGCAACAATGCGTAGGGCGACAATGCGTAGGTCGACATTGCGTAGGTCGACATCGCGTAATGCAACAATGCGTAGGGCAACAATGCGTAGGGCAACAATGCGTATGTCGATAATGCGTAGGGCAACAATGCGTAGGGCAACAATGCGCAGGTCGGCAATGCGTAGGTCGACAATGCGTAGAACATGGCAACAACCCGTTTCATAATGTGTATAACAACGCGTACGACTACAGGAACGATGCGTACAATTATACATACAACAATGCGTCCATGTACAATAATAATGCGTCCACGTACAATGTCGGCTGCGCTACACGGCTATGTTGTTACGTATTGCGTGTTGTGCGTAGACGATGCATCGTTGCAATGCGTATACGGCCAGGCGCAGGCAATGCGTGAGCGGCGGAGTGGTTGTGCCGTATTGGTACCTAGTGTTTGGCGTAGCCGGCCAGGCACGGCTTGAGCTGGAGCGGCTGGAGAACGGCATCGCAAACGAGTCCGTCCTGGGGAGAGAGAGAGTGGGCGCAAAACAGTGTTTACAATACGTAGGACGACACACAGGGGGGTGCGCAATACAATGCGTACTACAATGCGTAGGGTGACAATGCGGTGGGCAACGAAGTGTTAAATAATAATGCGTTGGGCGATAATCCGTTGGGCAACAATGCGTTTAGCAGTAATGCGTAGGGTAACAATGCGTAAGGGAAGAATACGTTGGATAACAATGCGTAGGGTGACAATGCGGTGGGCAACAAAGTGTAAAATAATAATGCGTTGGGCGATAATGCGTTGGGCGACAATGCGTATAGCAGTAATGCCTACGGTAACAATGCGTAAGGGAAGAATACGTTGGATAACAATGCGTAGGGCAGCGATGCGTAGGAATAATGCGTAGGGAAACAATGCGTAGGGCGACAATGCGTAGGGCGACAATGCGTAGGACGAGAAGGTGTAACAATGCGTAGGGTGACAATGCGTAGGAACGAACAATGCGTAAGAACAACGCGTAAGAACAATGCGTAAGAACAATGCGTAGGAAAACAATGCGTTTTTGGGTAGCAATGCGTTATTGAAGAATATGTTGGATAACAATGCGTAGGGCAACAATGCGTAGGGCAACAATGCGTAGGGCGAGAAGGCGTAACAATGCGTAGTGCAACAATGCGTAGGCCGAGAAGGCGTAGGGCGACGATGCATTTGGGCAACGATGCTTAAGGGCGACCATGCGTAGGGCCAACAATGCATCAGAACAATGCGTAGGAAAACAACGCGTTTTTGGGTAACCGTGCGTTATGGAACAACACGTTGCGTGACAATGCGTAGGGCGACAATGCGTAAGAACAATGCGTAGAGAAACAATGCGTAGGGTGACGATGCGTGGGGTAACAATGCGTAGGGCGACAAGGTGCAACAAGGCGTAGGGCAATAATGCGTACGCTGAGAAGGCGCAGGGCGACAATGCGTCGGGGATCAATGCGTGGGGCGACAATGCGTAGGGGCAACAATGCGTATGAACAATGCGTAGGAAGACAATGCGTTTTTGTAGGAAAACAGTACCCTAGAAAGCGTAGGGCGACAATGCGTAGAGCAACGATGCGTAGGAACAATGCGTAGGAAAACAATGCGTAGGGCGACAATGCGTAAGATAACAATGTGTAGGGTAACAATGCGTAGGGCAACATTGCGTAGGCCGATAAGGCGTGGGGCGACAATGCGTAGGGTAACGATGTGTAGGGTGATAATGTGTACGGCAACGGTACAATGTACAACGCGTATACAACCAGACGGGTGAACTATACAATGCGTGTACGGCTAGGCGGTGGAAGGACGCTGATCTTTAAGCCGGTATCACGTATGGTAACCGTCAGTGGAGTAGGATTCTTTGCGTAAACGGACAAGGACCGTTTAACGACTGCAGAATGTTATTTTAGCAACAGCGAAACTACCTTGAGACGACCTCTGAATGACGGCAAAATTACCAGTGTTCGGTTAACCATATGCCGATCAACGTACACGAAACGCCCCATGCTCTCGACCGTTAACAGCTAGATCGTAGACAACTGCATTAACCAATTGACAAGCGACATATACAAGATGCGCCTTCCGTTTGTCACACGGTCAACAGCCGTGTTTTGACTGACCAACTGCAAAGACCGCAATGATCCTGCAGGTACTGACACATCGAACTCAACGGTGTACAAATCCGTGCAGAACAATTGCAACCATGCGGCAACGGCTGCAACCAGCAAACAAGGAACTGTCCGTATTAGGTTCCACCTACGTATCCATCTCCGACCGTACATTGCGTCATCACTTAGCATTCATTGGCAATTTTCAGCCTTTTTGTGGCTATTTCCACCTCTCTTCTAGTTCCCTCCATTCCTCCTACCTCCGTCTTTCTCTCTCTGTCTCTCTCTCCCGGCACTCCCTCCCCCACTCTCTCTTTCGCCCCTACCTCCGTACGGCATATCCTTGTCATGCTTCAGCATACCGCCGTTCATCACATCCGGTTAATTGCCACTACGCTGTTGCACTCCTCTTTTTCTCCTCCTCCTGAACGCCGTAACCCAAGTTGTCGCCCCCCACACCAACGCGCTCTACTGTTTGTGGCTATTCCCTATCCTTCTTTTCCACCTCTCTTCTGGTACGTCTCTCTCTCTCTCTCCCATCAGTCCCTCCCCCACTTCCTGTCTCGCCCCTACCTCCCTACGGCATATTCCCGCGCTTGGTATGTTATGCCGGCGGACCACAACGCTTCCGACCTGCCCAGGTGCGTTAGATACCTTGCGACCTGTGGGCACATGGTTGAACGGGGAGGGAGGCGTTGTACAGTGGCATATGGAGCAGTGTGTAGTTGCATGGTTGCATGGTTGCATGGTTGCATGGTTGCATGTTTGCATGGTTGCATGTTTGCATGTTTGCATGGTTGCGTGGTTGCATGGTTGCATGGTTGCATGGTTGCATGGTTGCATGGTTGCATGGTTGCATGGTTGCATGGTTACGTGGTTGCATGGTTGCATGGTTGCATGGTTGCATGGTTGCATAGTTGCACATGGAATAATGTATGCGATGCAACATGCCTTTGCTAATCGCCTTGCCGTGTTAATCTCCCTGCCGCTCCGTGTAACCATATGTTACGCACCCTATCCCCTTCCTTTCACCTGTCTATAAATTGGGTTTCGCTCCGACCCTTATGCCTTAGACTCTTACCTCTATCTGCTCCTACTTCCGTCACTATTGTTAGCGACCCACTCTCCCTCCGTATGTTTCCCACTCCTATATTATTTCCTATCAAATATTAACAAAATGTCTGCACATTACCTACTAGGATTTACTAATATCGATATCCTTTGCCGACGATGTACGACACTTACCCGTTAAACGGGCATGTGTGCACGAGCTTGCCCTGCTGCTGCACGTTAGGCGCGTTGTGACCTGTGGAAACATGGATGGTAGGGCCATGGCAGGTACGACATTGAATGTGCAATGCAGGTCATGGCGGGTACGACAAAATTCATGGACGAATACGCTGCGTATTTGCATTGGCACTCCATGTTAATTCTGCTGCGATCCCCTGCCGTAATCCGCACAAATCAGCGGTGTTGCCCGAAATGACATTTACAATGCGTCATCTACCTGCCGCCCCATGTAACCGGTTCCTGCATTACATGTATCCTATGACCATCTACCTCTTATGAGCAAACCTCCTTTACTCCTAACCAGACTTACCCAGACTTCCCGGTGCCCGGTTGGTGCACGGCAGCACCCTCCAGGCCAGCTCGTGCTTCCTTCGCCTCTTGTCGCTTGTAGAGCTCGTACCGAAACATGGCCGGCGTGTGGCGAGACGCGCGGTGAGCCTCCTCGGCGTCCTTTTCCGCTGCCGCATTATCAACGGGCGGCAACCGGTTAAGGCGCGTGTCAAACTCGTTCTTAATGGCACCGGACGGCGTGGCCTGCAGCTTATTCTTCGACCACTCGCTGATGAGTTCGTCTGCGTACTGGAACCGGCTGAGACGTTCCGGGTCCGACGGGAGCAGCCAATTCTGGCCGGGCGACTTCGCCTCGAAAAGCTGCTTCGGGAATCGCCTCAGGGATCGACCGCCAACCTTGGCCCATGCGGCCAGAAGGCGGGGAATCGAGACGAGCACCATTCCGGTGTAGCCCGCTGCACTGGGGGAGTCGATGTCGTTGTTGTAGGCCGCATCGGAGTCGCTGGGCGCGCCGTCCATGGGAAGATGCAGCAGCGCGTTAGTGTTGAAACGCATGCAGTCCAGGCACGTTTGGCCTGCGTGCCTGTGGAAGCTGGACTGCAGGTCAAAGATCCGCTTGGTGATGTCGCTGGTTTGCGAACAGCTGTCGCACATGCATAGCACGGGCACTGCAAAACCCGACTTCCCCCACTGCTTGTAGCCGCACAGCACGATGCCGACTCGGGGCCTGGTGCCCATCTTGTCTACGTGATTCAGGACGAGCGTTCCTGGTGGCAGCATGCCGCCGATGACGGCAGCTGTCAGGCGCCCCATGTCGGGGGGGCCCCATGACGTACGGTACGGCAGCTGAGTTGGCAAGTCGCTCAGTAAGCGCCTAATGCGCTCGAACGTCACCGACTGGTGGTACCTGTTGACGGCTGGCATGTCACTCGACCCCATCTTAATAACAAGACTCGGCAATGAAGATATGTTGCTGTACGCAGAGGTGCGCTCCTGCTGTGTAGCGTTAGGGAAGAGCGTGGCGTTAGCTTCAAATGCTGCAGCCACGTGGCTGCCCCATGCGACTATCTCAGGTTCGTGTATGGGTATCTGCCTGACAGCCGGCTGCTTCTGGGACCCTCCTATGACTCTCTCACTGGATGGCGCAGCTGCCGTAGAGGGCCCAGCCCCAGCCCCTTCTTCGATTGGCTGACCAGAACCAGAATCTACAGTCTCGTGCTCCTGGGCACGTGACAACCGTTTCCGACCACGACCACCTGCGCATCGGCCACTTGCATGACCGACACGCCTGCCGCTGACCGCACCCCCACCGCGAAAACCTTGGCCTCGGTTGTCGAAATCGACATCCAACTCGCTGCCACCCGCTGCAACGCCTCCGCCGATTGCTGGCGGCGGTGGTGCAGTCGTCGCTGCTCCCGGCCGCAATGCTTCGTTCGATAGTTCTTCCAGCAGCAGATTGTAGCGTCCACCTTCCAGGAGAGCAGCGCGGATCCCAGCCGCTCTCTGGAGAAGACAACGCTCCACCGCAGGAGTCATGGCTGGCCTAGGAGGCTGATCCTCCATCTCCGCCGCAATGGTACGCGGGTTGACGTCAAATACAAACTGGAACTCCTCCATGTTGACAGTGCTGCCGATAAACCTGTCCAAGTCCTGTTTCCGAGCCCAAGCGCCGACGTCCATTAAGAACTGCTTGTCGTCTGCAATCTCAATACCGTGCGAAAGCAGCGCATACTGGTCCGCTGGCAAAGGCTGAGACTCTAGCGCAGCGTTAAATTTATCTGCCGCGCTGGATGATGGTTCTGCGCTGCACGGCTGCTGGCGTAGAGGTACGATCCAATCCAACTCGTACTGCCACCGTGTGCTGGTGTCCGGGGAGTGAAAACGTACGAATGCCACGTCCTCTGGTGCGTTTATCGATAGACCCTCTGCCGATATACATGAGAAGCGAGCCGCGAGATGCCACACGCTGCGTTGAAGGTCTCCGTCAACCGAAACGCATGGAACGCGGCTTCCTCCCACGAGAACGCAAGGCTTGGCTGAGAAATGGAAGAGGTTCCAGCTGTCGCCAGATTCCTCGATTGGCGTGGAGTACTTGTTGTCGTTCAACAACTGGGGCACGAAGGAATTAGGCAGAGGACATGCAGTTAATGGTAGCGAGCAGGCAAGGACAATTCGCCCAATCGTGAACAAAACGTATCTTCTCCGACGTGCATCCCGCGAAACATGCAAATCTTGCACTATGCTACTTTGTAACCAATACTCTGCTCGCTGACTCTCGATTGCCGTAATGAACACTCACCACGCTGCTGCCGATCTCATGCACCACTACTTCCTGCTCGTGTATCCACAACCGTTTTGAAAATGCTTGCGTTAATTTCTGGAATTCGGCTTCTGTCAGATATATTGGTTCCATCGCGCTAGATGCGTCAATTTCGGGACCACCTAATGGACGGCTATTACGCACAAAGATTGTCAATTAAGTACATGCTACTTGTGCTTGTAGGCGTGCGTTCTGACCTCGCGAGGCATCAGTTTCCCGTCGTGACATGGGGTCGTACATCACCAGGGTTCTCGTACAGTTATCCTTGTGCGGTCACGCTTTGTAATGGTGTGCTCACATCTCTCACCTTCTGTTAATACAACTCAACGCCTACTACTTTGCTTTCGTCGTGGCGTAAATTTGAAACGTCCCATTTTACGTTCCCTTTTCATGTGCCTTTCTTTCTTTTCTGCATAACTATATAATCATGGCTGCTCGCATTCAACGTAGTCTCGTGCTCGCTCCAACCATAATTCAGCAAGGTCCATTAATTGCGGCTATGCGGAGGATGGGCGTGGACTTCGGAACTTGCAAGCCGTTCCCACGACTTGAAGGTATCAACATTACATTATCTAATGTAAACACGTTTATTGATGTACTGACGGCTTAATCTGTGCAGGGAGCGCCATCACCCTGGATCGCTTGAACAATGCCCTTCCGCCATCTACACGACTTGGGATCGTCGTCTATGATGATATCCAAACGGCTACCATCCTCTATCGAAATACTCAGCATGGCGGCCCTGGTAGCGTTGGAAAATGGTCGGCCTACAAGGTTGCAGACAACGGCCTTGTACCTGTCGATGTTGCTTCAGCACTCCTGCCGGAACGCTTCTTCAGCCAAGTTGTTGTGACCATGAAAACCGCCGCCGGTGACAGCGTCGATCCGGCATCCGTGGAGGAGATGCTGGCTCGCTTGTGGGCGACGCCCATTCTAGATTTCGCTTGGCCAATCGCTTGCCTTCCAGGTGCCACGTTCAGCCTGGATGGGCGCACCAACCTTGTCTGGAACTCCAGCTTGCGCTTGCCCGAGCAAGCCAAGACGTTTGTGTACGCTCGCATTGTAAGTGATGTTAAGGCTGATAGTTCAGCAGCGAAGATGCCACTCAAATGCTTCCAACTGCCACATCCTTACCGATAAATATTGAGTGCTACGCACATGCCATGACCACTCGATGGTGTCGCTTCCTTTACACATGTCGTTACGTAACCATGGGCACCGTGCACGACCGCTGCCAACCAGCAGCACGCTCTATTTGTCTGATTCACCCCGACCATGTGTACTGCATCTGGATGTACGGCGACGTAGTACGGCATGAATTTCGACACGCTCTCCATCCCCCTACATGTTCCCCACCCTCCTCGCTACCACCTCGTTCCTCCAACACCTCTGAGGCCGTCGTGCCGCCTATTCACGCATGTCTCCTTGTGCTGCAGGACGACCTGGGTCGACAGGCGTTCTACGTTGCCGGCACTTCCCTGTTCGGTGACGTCCGCGTGCTGTCCGTCCCCCAAGAGGACATCGAACCCCTTGTCAGCATCAGACGTGGCGGTGGCTTCACGCGGTGGCTTCCCGGCCTCGCTATTGTTGACACATCCGCAAGTACCGCAGTCATGCCCCACGTTGCTGACGTCGCCAACCTCGCCAGCGCTGTATCGCAGTCCCGCCACGCTTTCGTGCCTACCATTAACGTCCGGTATCGCGTAATGCCAAACGCCGATACCTACTACCGAATGGTCTGTGAACGGGTATCTTCTGAACCGACCAAGTCGCTACCGCGGGGCATTCCCGTTCCTTCTACGGATCCGCAAACCAGGTAAGCTCGTTAACGTGAGAAACTGCAACGGGTCGTAATGATTGTTTCGAAAACGGCAGCGTTCTGGGGTACAGAAACAACTAGAAACCAACTCGTTAGACACACGCCTGCATTCATGTATGCTCAGCGACTCACCCCTGTACGACACTCACCTGTACGCATGCAACTCCTGTTCCATTGTGCACTTCATCACTGTATGCAGTTCGTGTCCGTTTACACGCATGCCCTTCCATTTTACCTTGATGCTTACGTCGTGCAACCTACATACGCATGCAATCCCTCACGCCTTGCTACATCTTCTCCTAACATCCATGCCGTAATTTGAAATTTGTCCAGTCATGCACCTATTCTTATTATGCACATTACACCGTACCCTGACACAGGCGAGACTACCCGCCGGCGGCACAACCTGAACCGCACAGAACGACGCTTGCTGAAAGGCCCACACGGTAAGCATATTCTCGTTCCTGCTCGTATGTCCCGTTTGATCTTCATCCCCGCGACAAAATACCCAATGATCTCCGCTACGCTCACGCATCTCCCTACTCTTGTAAATTAATGTACTGCATATGTATATATTACCACGCACGTACACGTCTTGTACCGCAATCCTGCTGCATGACCCTTAACGTCCGACCCTAGCGGCATGCCTTATTAATGTATGAAAACCATCTCTTCCGTTGTATCATCAGCTGCCTTTCATCACGCTAATGGCCGCAATTATCGCCGCCGTTTGAACTTGCTGTAGAGACCAACTGGAAGCAACCGTCCCTCTGCTGCACCTCACGCAGCCGCTTCTCAACAACATAATAACGTCTGCTCGTGAGGCAATCGTCGAGAACGACGCACGGCAGGCCACCATCTTCGACGCGCGGTCTCGCAAGGAGTGGAGTGCATTGTGCGCCGCCCGCAGACGGCCATTGCCGCCCGTCCTTGCGACCGTGCGATACAACGGTCGCCAGCTTCCTGATGTCCTCTTACCGATGAACGCCCTGGGCGTTGCGCTATCCATGACAACATCCGCCGGCAGACGCGTTTGCTGGTCCCAGGACGAGATAGCGGGTTGGAGCCCTGGCGGTGCGCACGTTGACGCCTGGCTAGGCGGCTGCTTGGAGCCGGGTATGATTCTCGAAACGCTGTGCTTCCCCAGCTCCTCGCAGCAGCCTGCACGCCGAGCAGCTGGTGTCGTTGTCTCCATTCCGCCCGACATCCCTATCAGCGTCTTGTGCTTTTGCGACAACTGTGCATCGAACAGCGACCTCACGGGTCGCATTGTGAATCTTTCGACATTCGAGCAACACGGCTGCGCCCATCCAGCAGGCAGCAACGCATGCCGCTGTAGCAGTGTCCCTGGGTGCGTGCGTGCTCTAGTTCGTATGGAGGATGCACCTCCGATGTGGCGGCCTCTATGGCGTTGGGCGCGTATCGAGCAGATCTCCTGTGCCGACCATGCCGTTGAGCCTCGGCTGGACTGGAACTGCTTATGGACCAGCGCCAAGCCGCCCGACACGTCGCAACTACAACTCACTGACACGCCACCGCCGCCTGGCTGGAACGGTCGAGGCTATCCGTCCGAGGCACCCGGTGCTTGGTATCCGTAGAGTTACAAGTGCCACTCGATTGTCTCGCATAATTTGGCACGTCGCTTGGGTTGGTTCACGTGATTGGTTGGTGCACGTTGGTATGCCGTCGGGGATATGCCGTATGGAGGTAGGCGCGAAAAGGGTGGAGAAGAAAAATGCTAGGAGAGAGAACAACGGACGCAGGAGGAGTGGAGACAAATAGAAGAGGGCCGGGAAATAAGGAAAGGAAACACCTGCAAATGGAAGAGCATGGTTTGGGAGGGGGGGCTACAAGTTGGTTCATGCTATTCAGGGCGAGCAGGGTGTCATACCCATGCCGTAAAATATGGAAGACTGAACGCCTCTTGGCAACATGCCGTTTTCGAAAGGCCTCTTGGCAACAAATAGTGAACGGCAGCGTATACTGTACGGATGTGTGTCATGTTTTTTTGACATGGCGCCTGACATGCATGAATGATGCTTTGAACGGTTAACCGCCTGCATTTCTACGCCATCCGGTCCAATGCATACGCTATCTGCACATTTCTTATATAGTAACCATCGAACTGCGAGTGGCTCATTTGATCGATTATGGTTCAGTTGACAATACTGCGCGAGGGAGGTGAAGAGGGCCGTCCAAAACCGCGCCCTAACCCATGCCGTACAGTACACCCATGTGAGACGATGCTACTCAGATGCCGCCAGAGCGATCTTAGCGATCGTTCGAATAACGAAGGAGCGGCACGGGGCATGGGGAACTTGAAGGGAGGTGGGAGCCCATTCATTTGGTCAGTCGCAACAGCGTAGTGTCCGAGGCTCATTGTTCTCATGTCGGACGCCTTGGCTTCAGTTTGCACTGCCGGTGCATATTGCTTGTCACTGCAATTAACACAACGGGTAACAACATACCACTTACAGCATAACCAACACCATTACACGGTACTAACAATCAAAAATTCATACTTTCGCTATACTTCTACATTGTCTGCGATGCACTGCGCTTTATTCAACGCCATGGATTGTCTGCGATGCACTGCGCTTTATATACCCGCGTAGGTAATTCCAACTCAGTACTTCGTCCCTTCACACATTACTCTTCATTTCTTCCATGTTCTATGTAGTTTGACAACGTGTATTCACCGTTAACTTTCTGTGACAAGCATTGCAGCTCGCGCTATTCGCGCGCTTATCCTTCCGAAGCCAACTCATCCCGACAGCATGCCGAGACCATCACATGACAACATGTACGACACCCAGTCATGTCGGTACCTTACTTCCTATAAATATCACCACCGCTTTAATTGTTTACTAGCATTCTATTTTTCCAGCCGCTTCACACTACCATAATACCGCCACGTCATTAAACCTTGCTCATTGTCTGGTTCGTATCGTTACTGCCCGCAATGTCGCCCAAGACGCCACCTGCTGGCAAAAGGTAAATTACAAGATTGCCGCGCAAAAGGACGCCGAGGAGGCTCGCCGCGCGTCTTGCCACACACCTATCAGTTTAGTCTAATGTAGCCGTTTTCTCAACCATTGCTAGCGGTCTTGTCATGCCATTCCATATTGCTTCCTCGTTGCTGGCTGTCTTATTGCTACGGTGGTGATGCCTACAATTGCTACACATAACTTCTGCTCTTAGGTTAATGATTAAATATTCGCCCCGTGCCCTCATGCCCTACATTCGCAGACCACTAGACACCGCCACCGATACCAATACTCCGTCAAGCGGCAAGCGCCCTGCCAACACTGACTCCACCAGGTTCGCACTGCACTTATTAACCCGATGGCGTAAACCGCTTGCTTGCGTTCCAATATCATACAATTTCGCTTTACGCAATAGCCTTCAGTTTCGCTATATTTTCCAGCAAACGGGACCCAAGGGTCACTGCCTGCTCCCGTATTTTCCGCTCCCATCCCGCAATCAGCTGTTTACACACAAACCAATACCGCCAATTTACGCCATTTCACGCTGACTATATGCTACATTTACCAGCATGGCTTTGTACTTATAGCCCTTTCGACCGACGACAGACCCACGGGTCATATTCACAGCTTACCAATAACATTGGCGCCGCGCATGCTTACCTAAATCCCATTTCCGTTAAGACGCTACTCACTTCTCTCCCTCACATTTCCTTTTCGCAGGATATCCGCTGCATCCAGCAGTGCCTCAGGCTGCTCTCCTGCTCAACCAACGGCTCTGGAATTCCAGGCAACTGCCATGTTTGGACCGCAGCCGAGCCCATTCGAGAATGGTGTACGCGACAACATCAGCGTCCTCATGGGCCCCATCGTTCCGAAGGACGACGAAGGCGAGATCGCTCTCAAGGTCGCCGTTGTGCTAATTAGCGACCCCTACCTCAACCGCCTCGTCAACGCGCTGGGCAACATCGTCACCATTAACCCTGTCGTCGGCGGCCCTGTGCAGTCCAACAAGGTCCTGGGACGCCTCGCCCAAGTGTCGTCAACGCAGTTCCATATCGGCGACGCCGCCCAAGTGACGGTGAGGAACGTATAAACCCAATCTCAGACGCATTACACATACCTTTCCATGATCGGAACCATGCAAACTTATCAACTTTATCAACAATACCGTTACGTATCCCGCAACATACCGTCATGTTGTATACCCAGCATAATGCTGTGATCCCAAATGCACCATACCGTGGTCATAGCGCCGCGAGTAGTGATGGCTCTTACCTATCAAACCGCTTAATTGTAGCGCTTACATCTAATAGCACTTACGTATCACAGCCTTTGCGTATCAACATACCTTACCACATACCCTCGCTCACATACACGTGTTACCCCCCCTACGTACCCTATGCCTTCGCAGATATCACCCCACACGCGCTTCATTCCGCTGACAACTCACCGCTTCCGCACACTTGGCGCTAACCCTGCCACCGACTCCGGCAACACTTCCAACGAGGCGCCCATGTTAGTGTATCCGTACGGCGCCCTGACGGAATACTCCGGACGCGACGAGCGGTTCAAGAAGCTGGACGCCATGGTAGCCACCGGAGATCCCAACGACCCCAACCCCGTAAAGATGGCCATTAAGTCACGGGCGTCTGCTCTCACTCCCTCCATGGCCCGCCTACTGGACCACGCTGCGGCGACGGGACAGGCGCTGTACATCAACGGCTACTTTGACCGCAAGAACGAGGCCTTCGACGGTAAGTTATCGACAAAAAAGATGCCATACGTTGCCCGTGCCATGCACATCGTATTGGATGCGTGCAATGCATCATATGGTAATACGTAACGACATAACCGTCTACCCATGTTATGTACGGTATCACACAAGCGCAACAATTGATGTTTCACATTACGCTACAACGCTTAACCTCAACATTCACACCGTCTGCGTACCAATTTGGCCCAATCCCGCACCCCCATGACCGCAATGCTTATCGTTTTGCTTCACGACCAACACCTTACCTCGTAGGCACTGTCTGGACCAACTCCTCCTTCATCTTCGGTGCCCACCCTACCCGCGCTGTTCGCAAGTTCATCCTGAAGGCCATCGCCAAGATCAACGGCGGCGCCGACGCAAGCGGTGTCAACTGGATGAACCGACTGGCACAGGAGTGGGAAGGTGACGCGGAGAGCACTCGGCCGCAGGTGGGTCGCTCCTTGCCTTATTGTACGCATTATACGTACCATACCACGCCTTCTTGCCCTACGCATTGTTATCCTACGCATTATTACCCTACGTATTCTGATTATACGCATTGTTGCCATACGCATTGTATCTATACGCATTCTCGCCATACGCATTGTAATCATACGCATCGTTATCCACTGTATTCTTCCCTTACGCTTTGTTACCCTACGCATTACTGCCCTACGCATCGCTGCTGTTCGCATTGTTACCCAACGCATTTTATTTTACACTTTTTTGCCCACCGCATTGCTGCCCTACGCATTGTTGCCCTACGCATCCTTGCCCTACGCATTGTTGCCCTACGTATTGTTCCTACGCATCATCGCTCTACGCATTGTTATCCTACGTATTCTTCCATAACGCATTGTTGCTCTACGCATTACTGCCGTGGCACTGCCCATGTCGTACTGCAGTACTTTATGTATCGTCATACGTCCTGTAAACACTACTCTGCGCCCACTCTTTCCCCAGGACGGACTCATTCGCAACGCCGTTCTCCAGCCGCTCCAGGTCAAGCCGTCCCTGACCGGCCACACCGAGCACGTTCTGCCGATGGCCCTCACGCACGACGACCACCACTACGCCGTGTACGCCAACACCCTCGACGTCGTTCAGCACGTACCCGGATACCTGGAGGAGTTCGGCACGGTCGAGATTGCCACCGTCAACCTGCCCAACATCATCAACTTCCTCCAGGAGCCCTTCGAGATGCACGCCGACGTCGAGGTGCTGACAACCGAACGATTCACCCGCATCACCCGCTTGGTACCCCGCGCCTGAAATGACACGCCACCCATGCAGTGTCATGCGTTTGGGTATCACACCTTTGGTCTTGCGTAATTGAAGTACAGGTTCACTGTACGCACTTAGAAGTTTATGGCCATACGCACTGTGCCATTCGTATTTGGCCGTGAATGCTGATGAAGGGTCCGGTGTCTTCGTACCGTCGCGTCTGTTCGTGTACGTACTACGATGAGGACTATTACTCCGCATACCACGCTATACGAACAGAGCCATGCGCAATGTGCCAGTTGTACTCTGCCATTCCGTCTAGTATTGCGCTTGTTGGCGTCAAAGTCTTCTATGCATTCCGGTTATGCGTACATACATTGGTACACGATCTGTGCCATACGAACAGTGTCACTCACGCTGCGGAGTCGTCCTACTGGGCTTGGTCGTAGTTGTATGTCAACAACGCCATATGTTCCACGTATGGTGTGCCAGTTGTACTATGCCATTCGTGTAGTTATGCGTTTACGTGCTATGCACTTCCAAAACCTTATCGCACACGTTTCATGTCCTGAACAGTTAATTTCACTTGTTGTCGACCAATAACACTAGGATGTCCATGGTTGCTGGAGCTATGACGGTTGCCGGAGCAAACACGTCCACCAATGACACGGTCATAACCACACGGTCGTATCCCTTACAATACTTTTAACGACCAATACGTTCGCTATACGCCAACTTCCAAGACGTACGCCAACGAGCCAATCTCATCATATGAACGACAAACACGCCACGTAAACACGCTGAGGCATGTGTATGGTACAGTACGGTCAGCATCGCTTCGACCATCGTGTATCGCATTATCGCCCTACGTCGTTGCCCTACGCATTGTCACCCTACGCACTGTCCCTACGCATTGTTGCCCTGCGCATTGTCGCCCTGCGCATTGTTGCCTTACACGTTGATACCTGTTCACCTACGCATTCTCGCCTAACGCATTGTCCCTACGCATTGTTGCCTTACACATTGTCGCCTTACGCATTGTTGCCCTACGCATTGTCTCCCTGTGCATTATTGCCCTATCCATTGTTGCCTTACGCATTATCGCCCTACGCATTCTTTTCTTACGCATTGTTGCCCTACGCATTATCGCATTACGCATCGTCACTACGCTGTCTTACCCTACACATTGTCGCCCTACGCACTGTCACCCTACGCATTGTTGCCTTACGCATTGTCGTCCTACGCATTCTTTCCCTACGCATTGTTCCCCTACGCATTGTCTCCCTGCGCATTGTTGCCATACGCATTGTTGCCTTACGCATTGTCACCCTACGCATTCTTTCCCTACGCGTTGTTGCCCTACGCATTGTCACCCTACGTATTGTTGCTCTACGCATTGTCACCCTACGTATTGTTGCCCTACGCATTGTTGCCTTACGCATTGTCGTCCTACGCATTCTTTCCCTACGCATTGTTCCCCTACGCATCGTCTCCCTGCGCATTGTTGCCATACGCATTGTTGCCTTACGCATTGTCACTCTACGCATCCTTTCCCTACGTGTTGTTGCCCTACGCATTGTCACCCTACGTATTGTTGCCCTACGCATTGTCACCCTACGTATTGTTGCCCTACGCATTGTTGCCTTACGCATTGTTCTTATGCCTTGTTCTTACGCATTGTTCGTTCCTACGCATTGTCACCCTACGCATTGTTACACCTTCTCGTCCTACGCATTGTCGCCCTACACATTGTCGCCCTACGCATTGTTTCCCTACGCATTATTCCTACGCATCGCTGCCCTACGCATTGTTATCCAACGTATTCTTCCCTTACGCATTGTTACCCTACGCATTACTGCTATACACATTGTCGCCCAACGGATTATCGCCCAATGCATTATTATTTTACACTTTGTTGCCCACCGCATTGTTACCCTACGCATTGTTATCCAACGTATTCTTCCCTTACGCACTGTTACCCTACGCATTACTGCTATACGCATTGTCGCCCAACGCATTATTATTTTACACTTCGTTGCCCACCGCATTGTTACCCTACGCATTGTACTACGCACTGTATTGCGCACCCCCCTGTGTGTCGTCCTACGTATTGTAAACACTGTTTTGCATATAAATATGTTACATAATAAACATACTTTCCCTACGCATTGTTCCCCTACGCATTGTCGCCTAACGCATCGTCCCTACGTATATACGCATTGTTGCCCTACTCGTTGTACATATATACGCCAACTGGAACCATAACGACTACGGGGCACCAAGGGATTTACGGTACCCCCGGCCGCGGCAACGACGCGGCACTATCTGTCTGTCCGTTCACAAAAGTGGTGGCAACGACCTTCAGGCGCTAAGCGTTCAGTCCTATCCTCAGCCAGCCAGAGGTCTCCAGTTCGAGCCGGGTAGCGACCTCTTGGCGACTTCCTCGGCACCCTTGGAGATGATGCCTGGGCCTATGGGGATGGTGTTATGGGAGATCTCGAGTACGACAACACGCTGTACGGCAGCAAACTGTACGGCACAGGTACCATGCTGTGTGGTGACACATCATGTGGTGTACGACATGTACGACTATGTACGACAGCTGTACGACAGCATACGACAACTGTCGTACACTTGTACGGCATGCCGTACGGCATCTGTACGGCATGGGTTTTGACACGCCCTCCCACCCCCCTCCGTGCTCCCCACTCCCCTCACCTCCCCCTCGTCCCTCCAGCACCCCTGAACGCCCCTGCATCACCGTGAGGTATACGGCAACACAGTACGGCATGGGTTTCGACACGCCCTCCCACCCCCCTCCGTGCTCCCCACTCCCCTCACCACCCCCTCGTCCCTCCAGCACCTCTGAACGCTCCTGCATCACCATGAGGTGTACGGCAACGCAGTAAGGCATGGGTTTCGACACGCCCTCCCACCCCCCTTCATGCTCCCCACTCCCCTCACCCCCCCCCTCGTCCCTGCAGCACCTCTGACCGCCCCTGCATCACCATGAGGTGTACGGCAACGCAGTACGGCATGGGTTTCGACACGCCCTCCCGCCCCCCTCCGTGCTCCCCACTCCCCTCACCACCCCCTCGTCGCTCTAGCTCCTCTGACCACCCCTGTCGTACAGCGACATGGTACGGCATGGCTTCGGGCACCGTGTACCACCAATCTTCTTGTTGCAATATCTTGCATTGTGATCTCGACTAAGCTATAACTGAATTAATGAGCCATTCGCAGTTTATTGGTTACTTTCCAAAATCAGCGTCAAACTGTTTGGTGACCGTGACCACCCCCCTCCATGCTCCCCACTCCCCTCACCACCCCCTCGTCGCTCTGGCTCCTCTGACCACCCCTGTCGTACAGCGACACGGTACGGCATGGCTTCGGGCACCACGTATCAATAGTCTTCTTGTTGCAAGATCTTGCATTGTGATGTCGACTAAGCTATAACTAAGTTAATGAGCCATTCGCAGTTTCTTGGTTACTTTCCAAAATCAGCGTAAAACTGTTTGGTGACCGTGACCACCCCTCTCCAAACTCCCTATTCCCCTCACCACCTCTTCATTGCTCTAGCTCCTCTGACCACCCCTGTCGTACAGCGACGTGGTACGGCATGGGTTGGGGCACCGTGTGCCGCCCGTCTCCTTGTTGCGATGTCTTGCATTGTGATCTCGACTAAGCTATAACTGAGTTAATGAGCCATTCGCAGTTTCTTGGTTACTTTCCAAAATCAGCGTCAAACTGTTTGGTGACCGTGACCACCCCCCTCCATGCTCCCCACTCCCCTCACCACCCCCTCGTCGCTCTGGCTCCTTTGATCACCCCTGTCGTACAGCGACACGGTACAGCATGGCTTCGGGCACCGCGTACCACCAATCTTCTTGTTGCAATATCTTGCATTGTGATCTCGACTAAGCTATAACTGAATTAATGAGCCATTCGCAGTTTCTTGGTTACTTTCCAAAATCAGCGTCAAACTGTTTGGTGACCGTGACCACCCCCCTCCATGCTCCCCACCCACCTCACCACCCCCTCGTCGCTCTGGCTCCGTTGAACACCGTCGTGAAGTCGGCGCATCTCCTGAAAAGCGTCGATTACTGATCGCCGAAAACTGTAGTTGATCGGCGATTGCTCCTCTGCACCTCTGACCGCCCCTGCATCACCGTGAGGTGTACGGCAACGCAGTACGGCATGGGTTTCGAGACGCCCTCCCATCCCCCTCCGTGCTCCCCATTCCCCTCACCACCCCCTCGTCGCTCTAGCTCCTCTGACCACCCCTGTCGTACAGCGACATGGTACGGCATGGCTTCGGGCACCACGTATCACCAATCTTCTTGTTGCAAGATCTTGCATTGTGATGTCGACTAAGCTATAACTAAGTTAATGAGCCATTCGCAGTTTCTTGGTTACTTTCCAAAATCAGCGTAAAACTGTTTGGTGACCGTGACCACCCCCCTCCATACTCCCCACCCCCCACTCCCCTCACCACCCCCTCGTCGCTCTGGCTCTTCTGACCACCCCTGTCGTACAGCGACACGGTACGGCATGGGTTCGGGCACCGTGTGCCGCCGGTCTCCTTGTTGTGATGTCTTGCATTGTAATGTCGATTAAGCTATAACTGATTTAATGAGCCATTCGCAGTTTCTTGGTTACTTTCAGAAATCAGCGTCAAACTGTTTGGTGACCGTGACCACCCCTCTCCAAACTCCCTATTCCCCTCACCACCTCTTCATTGCTCTAGCTCCTCTGACCACCCCTGTCGTACAGCGACATGGTACGGCATGGGTTGGGGCACCGTGTGCCGCCCGTCTCCTTGTTGCGATGTCTTGCATTGTGATCTCGACTATGCTATAACTGAGTTAATGAGCCATTCGCAGTTTCTTGGTTACTTTCCAAAATCAGCGTCAAACTGTTTGGTGACCGTGACCACCCCCCTCCATGCTCCCCACTCCCCTCACCACCCCCTCGTCGCTCTGGCTCCTTTGATCACCCCTGTCGTACAGCCACACGGTACAGCATGGCTTCGGGCACCGCGTACCACCAATCTTCTTGTTGCAATATCTTGCATTGTGATCTCGACTAAGCTATAACTGAATTAATGAGCCATTCGCAGTTTCTTGGTTACTTTCCAAAATCAGCGTCAAACTGTTTGGTGACCGTGACCACCCCCCTCCATGCTCCCCACTCCCCTCACCACCCCCTCGTCGCTCTGGCTCCTTTGATCACCCCTGTCGTACAGCGACATGGTACGGCATGGCTTCGGGCACCGCGTACCACCAATCTTATTGTTGCAATATCTTGCATTGTGATGTCGACTAAGCTATAACTGAATTAATGAGCCATTCGCAGTTTCTTGGTTACTTTCCAAAATCAGCGTAAAACTGTTTGGTGACCGTGACCACCCCCCTCCATGCTCCCCGCCCCCCTCACCACCCCCTCGTCGCTCTGGCTCCTTTGAACACCGTCGTGAAGTCGGCGCATCTCCTGAAAAGCGTCGATTACTGATCGCCGAAAACTGTAGTTGATCGGCGATTGCTGATCGGCGAATGCTGTCAGGGGAGATCGCCGTGAAAGCTCTTTAGATTTCGGCACAATTGGCCTGGCATCGGCAAAAATCTTTCGGCGCGATTTGCAAGCTGGTCTCGGCGAGAAGCACGGTCGTGAAGTCGGCGCATCTCCTGAAAAGCGCCGATTGCTGATCGCCGAAAATGATAGCTTT